GAGGGAGAGTAATACAACTGAAGATGGAATGAAACAGTCGTTTCTTTTGTGCTGCTGGTCACATGTTGGGTCCTTGAAAACGTGTTTCTAATGTATATTTAGGTCCTTGAGTTTTTATAATTTTGCTTGTGTACAGCACCACAGTGGATTTTAAATCAATCAAGAAGCCTCTGACAGGTTCATTTATTATTTTTTTCAGATAGACTCCCTCACATGTCTTTGCACTTCCTATTCAGAGTTCCAGTGAACAGCTACCAAATACAAGGTCAACAGATTGAATCAATTCCAGAGTTTTATCTGCTTCATTTGTCATGAAATAATGGGGGAAACAGGCCTCAACAGGTTCAAAAAATGCTTCCCTGCCAGTCGTCCAATTACTTTCAAGCTTTGGGATTATATGACTGTGTTTTAAATATGGCTGTAATTCCTAAACAGTTAATGCAAAACCTTTGTGAAGCCCTTTGAGTTAAAGCTGAAAGTTTGCAATTCAATGACATCTTGATTATTCAATTTATAATCCACTGTGATTGTGTACAGAGACACAATGTCAGTGTCCAAATAGGACAAACTGTAATAGTTAGCTAAGCCCACACAGTGAGCTCTGTGCAAGGAGGCAAAAATCAATAACCTTCAGGGGCTACAAATATTAATCTGTTTGAGTACCATGTTTCATTTTGTATTCTTCTATACCAGCTTTTTGGTTTTAGTGTGGCTTTTAGACAGAGCAAGCACTTCCATAACTCCGAAGCTTCGGAAAGGCTCAAAACTATAGGGCTAGCGTTATGTAGCCCACTAAACACTAGAGGGAGATATTATAAAAGGTACCAATTTCAGCACTGGGTGAAATCACAGTAGCTGCGTTCTGTACAGATATCTAGATTTTTTGTTCACGTATGCATTGCTACTCAAAGAAAAACACAAATTGCCCATTTGTTCCAGATATGTCAAGGTTTCATTTTGTTTTTCCAAAGAGGTGCGTTTGTACAGATGTCAAATACATACACCAACAGGGTTTCTCCATTGCTATAGAGGAAATGGGGTGGTGAGACACAGGGACTTGGTGAGTACAATATAGTACAAACAAGTTGGCTGGGAACTGCTGTGGCCCCCCCCTGGAGGCCAGACTGTCCATGCAGGTCTGCGCTGATGTCCAGTTCTCCGCCACCATCTCACAGGCCAGTAAGTCTCACTTTAGTACGTGGTGACGCAGGTTAACTGAGAAACATCTTGACAGACAGGTTGCTAGCCTCAGGGCTGAGTGTTCAGATCACAGGAAGGACACAGCTGACAGATCAACTCCACCCCCTCCCTGGCAGTGGGCAGGGTCAGAGGTCAAGAAGCACACAGCCTGTCCCCCGCTGAAGTGTTTTTATCGCCTTCCACAGAGAGGCCGCCCAGAGATGATCAGTACACTAAAGAGTAATCCAAGCCATCTCCAGCATAATACACATAATATCATAATAATTTATAGTTAATTTCCAATAAGAACATTTGTTAATCAAATCAATTCAAATATCAAATTATAGGTAATAAATTTACATATCTTATAACCCATATCAAAAAGCCCACTATGCAAATTGACTGGTGTGAAACTAAACTGTTAAGTGGGCCTCTACACTTTTTTTTTTTCTTCTTTCTGCCTGAGTTGGTTATCCAGCGCTATGGACATCGACAAGACATCATACAAAAAAAAAGAAAAGAAAAATAAATTCATGAAAAAAAGTGGAATCCTGATCGAATTCTGTTCACTTTTAAAACACAACAAAAGTGCCAAAAAACACATTTTTGTTTACGCAAAATGAAAGTACAAACATTAAGAAACAAAGAGCACACATGCCTTTTTT